GCTGGCAACAGAGGAAGAGGAGGCCTCCTCTGCGTTAAAAAGACCAGGTGGAGAAGGACTTGGATTCATTTGGCGTCAGGTGCCACAGAAAATAAATGGCTGTTTCGGACTCAGCCAAAATCGCTTAGGCGGTTATACCGTTAATAAAGAAGAATACGTGGAAAAGATGTATCTTACCTCAGTTCGTTTGAAACAACTCCTCCTCCGTTTCTCCATTTAAGCTTGAAGCTATCTATATAAAAGTCTGTTACATTAGGCTTATAATGAGGCGTGCGACACTACATCTGTCGTGATCGTAACAGTGTTTTAAAATTTAGTATTGAAAATGAGCGAGGACATTAATTGGACGACACGGATTAGGTTAGGTTAGGTTGGGTTATGTCGGCTGCCCTTATCCCTCAGGAAAAGGGCGCACTTAGGCCACCATAGGCCCGTTGTGATGCCGTCTCAGAGACTCCATATGTTCCTCTTCTTATTCTAGAAATGGAACCACTTCGTAGCTCTGATGAAGCGTACAAAGTCATAGACACTGTCTGAATCCAGTTCGGCTAGACATTAAAAAGAATAATGTCGAGCATCGACGAGTTCGATTTCCTTCTCATCGCGGCAGCAAACCCATTCTAGTGTGTGTTTTCCATCAGGCAATGCCCGGTGAGAACTTCGGTACTGATTGGTATCGAAATTGTCGCTGACATGCTTGGCCCTACCGAATGAGCTGAGCTGTTTTATTGTTTCAAGAATGACCTCGTCTCGAGCAATTATACCAAACGGAGATAGATGCAGGTATCTGTGGGCATGGAGCAATTCCGCCTTGTTTGTATCCTTTGCAGTCGATTTCTTGAGTTTAGGCCCCCAAACTAAGACTCCATGGAATGTAATCGAATGGACAATTGTCGTATATATCCCCTCTACCATCTTTGGAGAGAGTTCCCATGATATAATATACTGTTGCCTTTTCGTAGAAAACTTTTTGTTGGGACTTTCTTAATGCCTTTCGCTGTGATGCGATTTCTGTCGAGAATAAGTCTTAAGAACTTGGCCCTACTTTGGAAAAAATAGACTGGTATCATGTAGTTGGAGACGTACGAAATGCGGCACTTTGTTTACTTATGGCATTTTAACTTCTATAAAAAATGTTGCCTTTTCATCGCCCTCTCCTTAGAGTTTGTTCAAAGAGGGCAACGAAAGGGCAAACTTGTTTGGTAGAAACTACAGCGCCATTAGTTTCGTTGGATTTAACTCCTACTCACAAGCAATGTGTTAAACGAGAGAGGTTTCCATCAGACACAAAAAGGCTTGCATCTGGGATCCAATAGGAACGAAGAGAAGACTTCCTATGTGCCCCTGTCAACTATCATTTGAATCATAACATCCGCCGGCTCGTAGCAGTTGGTGTACGAGTCCTACCAGGAACCTGCACATGGACTCGCTGAGGAATGCTACTGAGTATAGATATGTATTAATATTTTGTCTATGTATTTTCTCAAAATAATTTTCGGCTATTATATCGATCGATGTATGAATATATTTATGCCTCGCACTTACCTATATCTATTAGTTTTATTCGTATTGGTGTACGCGCCCTTAAATTAAAGTTGCCCCACAGCTTTACTTGTTAGTAGCTTGTTGATACTTTGAGCTAATCAAAGGTTGTTATCTAATTTTTTTTCGACCTACGAAATCTTATCTTTATACATATCGCACGCGGTCTTCAAAAGTGTAATATTTCGAAATTTGTAAATTTTAATACGATACTCGAAAAATGTTCAAAGACCATGAAATTACAAGTAGCAAAGAATGGAGCAGTGTTATTATTGCAAGCATGGCAGCCAACTCTCCTTTCCAAGTATGCATAGCACGAGCTTGAAAATGCATACTTTGTTCTTTTTTTTTAAGTGTTCTGATAGACGGAGAACTTTGAGTTAGCATTATTTCGAAGAACATGTGCGATGCGTATGTGGATATCTTTGAGCAGTTCAAAATTTGTTAAACTCCTTATAATGCTTAGATTCAGACGAAACATATTTAGTAAATCATCTAAACTTCAACCAAGGCGATATTCCTCGCGGCAAAAAATTATGAAAATTAAAGTAAAGTATCTTCCTGAATTTTTAGATCCACTATGTAGACATTGAAGAAATAATATTTATAATTTAATTATATCTTAGCTTTGCGTTCAGCTCACAATTGCTTTAGTGATAATAATGGCAAATCATCAGTCTCATGCGGTGTGTAGCGTTTGCAACGGTAATGGAGTCGCCTGCGCCAGCAACACTACATTTCAACTTTGTTTTAACGGTAATCGGAAGCGCACGTTTAAGCAATGTGTTTCTAAAAAGAAACCCTCCAATTGAAAATTTCATGCATTTCACTCATTTATTTCACCCACTCGCAGGCATAACCGACACAACCGTAACATACAACTGCCTCAATGACAATGAAGTGTGTACCGCGCTGGGCCGAATTTGCATTGATTCCTCCAGCAATCCAAATATACAGGCTGCCTGTGGCGATACTAAGCAGTGCGGCCAATGTGAAGGCATTGCAAATGGCGCCTACACTTGCACCAGCCGCACCACATTCACCATGTGCACGAACAACAATCTGACCAGTGTGCGCGGGTCCTGCCGAAGCGGAACGGTGTGTCGCACGTCGGTGGCACATAGTGGCCAGACGCCTTGTGTTAGTGAGTGCTTATTGAATGTAACCGATATGTGTGATGTTGGTGTGGCCGTGGACGCCCCACCAAACGATGACTCGGCTATTACTACGGTGATATTTCAACCTACGCCATCCTTGACGACAGTTGCAACATCTAGCGGTACATCGTCAACAGCAACAACCTCCGCAGAACCAACTTCGTCTAGTCAATCTCCGGTAGCATCGTGTTCAGATCGCACGCAAGTTGGACGTTACCCCAATACAGCGGACAGTGGTTGCAGCAGGTGAGAGAGTATGCTAAATTTGCTGCCGATTTATTAATTTTACTTTTATTTCTTTTAGCTATCTTTATTGTTTGAGTTCCGTGTCTGGTTTGGTTGGGCGTATAATGTCATGTCCCGCAGGAAAATATTTCAATTCAGATATAAGCAACTGTCAAAGCACTAAACCAAATGGCTGTGTTTGAAAAAAAAATCATACGGCACAGTAAATTTACAATACCAAAAAAAAAAACAAAAAAACAAGTAAGGACGTGCTGTCTTAGGATATGCCGAAGGCTTAATAAAGTTCATGAATTATTCAACGGCTGAGTGGAAGATCAAAATGGCTCAAGAATGTCCTACATCAAAACTTCGCTGCATAATCTGCTATCTCAGAATTTGATTGAAAAACGCCCTATCTCAACTGAAAATATGTTGAAAATGCATCGATATAAGGCGTTTATGAAGCGGCAGCGGAGACGGGATGTTTTTTAAGTCGAATCCTGAAATAGGGCGTTCTCTAATCAAATTCTGAAATAGGGCACCCTTGAAAAATTTGTTGAGATAGGGAGTTTTCGAGTCGGCTGCCAAGATAGATAGATGTTCCACTCAGCCCTCCATATGAAATTTTAACTTTACACTATCTTTGACTTTTCGGGAGCACAAAATTGTAGGCTTTTAGGTTGCCTGTTTATCAGGTTATTTATTTAAAAAATAGTATTATCTAGTGTATTTTATTATTGTAAACTATACAAAAAAAAAATATAACTACGTTATTACTAAAACATGAAGTTTTCCTCCTCATCTACTCCTTCTTAATTAGCTTTCAAATTATTAAAGCCATGCTTTTCTCTGTGCAAGCATTCAAGAGTCAAGCGGTCTCCCGGACTGTAAGGGCTCACTTAAACCACGACTTCAGCACAAATATATCCTACCCTCTCTAAAAAAATTGCCAAAAAGAAACGGTTAAAGATCTGCATGTTTTGAGCGAGTTACTGCAAAATCCCCTCAGCCATTTAAATATCTGGTCTAAGGTATGTGAATTCGGAGGGGAGGCTCCTAGAGACACTTATTTAGTAAAAGTTTAAGCGCCAATATATTACTATGGCCGTACATCACCTTATGGGTACACATGGGAAAAGGTTGGGATATGCAACCAACGATTTTTGTCGAAGCTATTGATATGAAAAAGAGGCAAAGAATATTGAACACTATCACCGCCATTGCCCCGCCTTGGCCACCGATTCTTTAACAAGTGCTTTACAAAGTGTTAAGCCGATTTAAATTCGACGAATGTTCTCGGTTCGCATCGGTGATATCATAACGGGCCGATTTTTAGCTAAAGTGCGCCTTCGTGCTTTTCTTGCGTGCTTTTCTTGCGTGCTAGAAGCTAATCTAACCTAACCTAATCCCCAATTGCAACATCACCTTTAGTTTGTTTATCAAAAGTTATCTTCTCAAAGAAGAATGTAGATAATAAGTATGTATGTACATAAATTATGTCTTAATTTTCATACCGAGAAAAAACTTTCTTTTTTTAACTCGTGCATTATAAGAATGTAAATAAGTAAATAAACAAGCGTACTACATTCATACATACGGTGGCGAGAATGTAAATAAGGAAGAGATATTTTAGTAAGTTTTGGATATTTTTCTTTGATTAACAATTTTTTATTATTTTGTTTTTGAAACTTTGGGAAATGTTTAGTTATTGGCCCATCGTTTTTGGGGTGGGGGCGGAGGGGAGGGGGCGTGGCCACCCAAACCCCCCTCATTCGAAAGGGGCCAGTCGCCACTTTACGAAAAGCCCCACCCCCCCTTGGGGACCTCCCACAGACCCCTAGGGAACCGTTTGAAAATGGGGTAAAAACGGCATTTTCCGAGGCAAACTGAGCAGTTTGAAGTGGAATATAACCCAACTAACAGAATCTGTGGGGTTTTTAAATAAAAGAAGTTATCCCAAGGTGGTTATCAGGCGAAAAAAGGAGGGCTAAACACCTTTCGCAGAGAACACCTTTGTGCGTAGGCGGCCTTCGGCCGCACTTAGGGATTATAACCCTCAGGCA